GTCAAACAGTTCTCAGCTGAACTTTCTCTTTTTTGTCTCATGTCTAGCTCTGCCCACTCTGCTGCCATTCTGACATGGCACTGATACACCCACCATGAAGATTAGGGAAGATTTAGGTCCAGTGCCAGCTTCACTCCCAGTGCCATACCATCCCTCAGCACAGAGAGGGAGTGGGGGGTGTCCCACTTGGCGTGGCAAGGTGAACTAGCCTCTGATTGATGGGCATGGCTTCAGCCCACTACTGTGCTCCCCAAGGCTCGTGCCTCCTTTTCCTTTCTCCCACTGCTGTCTTGGCAGCAGTGCCCAAATCCTCCTCTGTGCCAAGCAGCCAGCTAAAGCTCCTGGTGGGCACATCAATTACATAGCGGCACCTCCCCTCTTTTCTTCATGTCTATCTGTAGGTCTGTCTACTGACTCAGATCATGCCAATCTAGTCCCTCTCCATCTCCAGTGCTGTCTATTTCTTGTGTGTTTATTTAATACGCATGTTCTTAAAGTATAGCCTTGCAAATGCACCAATACACATATTCATGAACACACTCCCTGCTCTATCTCATAGGCAGGTCATAATGGTTGGTGGGAAAATCCTCCCTGGAGAGCACTCATTGCCACAGGCTCAGCTGTGCAATAGGCTCAGGTGTCTGCATGCAGTATGCGTTTGTTTTTGCAAGGCATGACTGCTTTTGTGGCTTTCATTTTTATTTTTTTAATATGCTGCTTTATATGCAGCTGTGGTAACTTTAAAAGTGGGATTTACCAATAGACAAAAAGAGATCGACAATCAAAACGTGTTACTTGAAATTTACAGTTAATAAACATAATTGTGTAACCTGTCAGTTGCTTTTGGCAAAACATGAATCATTTCCTTGCAGTAGTACGCCATCTGGAGAAATAATTAAGTCACTGTCTTAGGAGGAAGGTGCTGTTATATAGTGCTGTTCGACACAGTTTTAATGTTTTGTTTGACCAATAAAAGAAAATAACTCCTGTCAATTATAATCAGTCGAATTTCCCTGAAAGTATTATATTTTTAAAATAAATCTACATATTCGCGCAGGGACAAATGAAACGAGATTGTCAGGTGAACTATTAATAGAAACTTTTTTTTAATTACAAGAAAATTTGATTTGTAGAAGAAAACTGTTAAGACACCAGGGTTATTTACATTCTTTGTAGTGTCACACTCGCGTCCTAGAGGATGGGCGTACGGAAGCCGCCTGGGGACGCGGAGAACTCGAAGCTTTGAGAGAACAATGGCGTCGGGGCCTGGTGTCTCTCTGCAAAGTGGCAGCCCGGCCAGAGAACTTTCTATTTCGGTTCAACAAGGAGGAAATCTGCCTATCGGTGACCGGGTAAAACCCGAAGATGTAACGGGTGAGGCCTGCTTTTGTTTTAGGTGCTTTATTTTATTTAGAGTTTTTTAAGATGCGTGAAGTGCTAGGAGAGGTGAGAGAGGCTATCTATGCTAACTGATAGCCAACGGTGTTAACTATTATTGGTGTCGTATTTTTAACATTTAGACTATTTTTGAATATGCAGACAAAATAATTAAACATATAATAATGGAATTTTTTATGAGTGATACAGTTATTTATTTTTTATTTTTATTTCTGCCTTTGTTATGTTGCTAATGGCTAGCAGGAGCTACTGTCTTATAAACTAAATGCAAACGTCAACATTAACATTAGATCAGATTGCAATAATATCTAAAATACTAAAAACAAGTTTATTTGTACCAAATTAGTATATCATTTGAAGGGATGAACGTAAGACTAGCTTTTAAAACTAAGCGAAATAATCAGTCATCCGTCATTAGCTCATTGTTACAAGTTGTAATTGACAGTTAACCACAATTCGGGCGTTTTAATGATGGGAGTATTTAATCGCTTAACAATCTCGTTATGAACTCCCCTCCTTATCCACCTTCCTATGTACTTTAAAAACGATGAAGAAAAATGTTTTACTGCAAGATAACTTTTGAATAAGTTGATAAATGATAACAGAGAACTTAGTTTTGGTGTTCTTTGTTCACAACAAATGTAAACAGCCACAGTTTAGGTGTCATAATCTGGCTGAATGTAAAATTATTATAGGGACAACTAATTTATCAACACAGTATTCACAAATAATAAGTTATCTTTTAATAATTTGTTGTAAATTATAGCACATGTGTTACCGTTCACATCTTATTTGTAGGCTAAATACATTACAACAGACATCTTCAGCATGATTCATCTACATCTCAGACTGCATGTAAAATATCTGAATGTCTAGATTGGATCTGGTTTTCAACTGGACCAGCTAATTCATGTCCATGGCTTTTTACGGATAATGGCAACATGAGGACGTAAGGTAAATCTGGGCTTCTTTATTTTCTCATAGTTTAACAATCTCCACAGAAGAGCCACCTTGTTGTTTTTGTAATCTAAACGTTATGAAAGACTTGGTAGATCTTTGAAACTACAGATTCTGAAAACCTCAAAGAATTTTTTTTCTGAAAAAAGAAAACATTGTAATTATCTTTATATTTTTGGAAATTCACAGATAAAGGCCCCTATATATTTGCAAATTCCTAAAAGGACGAGTTTAAATGATCTGTTTGAGTGTAGTAAGGTTCCAAACTTGGGCAGAATACACGAGTAAATTTGATTTGCTTTTTAATCATCATCACAACCTGAAATATGTTTTTTTTTTTGTCTTTATCAGAGGCAGAGAAGCAGAGTCGGATAGCTGCTCTCCTGGAGAGACTTCATGCCAAACATAATGCTTCACGACCATGGCAGGAGACCTCCAAAGTTGTGCGTCAGGCCATGGTGAGACATATTCATTCTTCTATAGAAAATAAATCCAAAACATAATGTTTCTTATCACACAACCTGAACTTGACACTGACCTTCTTACTCGCCGTCCAGGGTTCCCGCGGGGTCTTAAAAAGTCTCAAAAGCATTGAATTTAGGATTTAGAAAATAATACCTTAAAAAATCTTTTAAAAGTCTTGAATTTTGACAACTGGGTCTTAAAATTTGTGCTGTATGTAAATTATCCATATTGTATTTGCATTCTAAAATTGCATTTTTCAACCACAATAGTTTTAATTAAATAACATAGTGTAAATAAAGAATGGCAGAACCAATCAAGTGGTGCTCGCTGCAGAACCACAAAGGCGGAGCTGCACCAGAAGGTGGAGCTGCACCAGAGTCAGCTCCGCCCATTCCAGAATCAGCCCCGCCCATTCTATCGGAGTCAGTCCAATTCCTTCCAGTTGTCAGACTTTATAGCATTCTGGAACCAAAGAGGGTGTTATAGCTAAAAAATGCAAGATTGAGGAGGGAGTTGAGAAGTGAATTGAACAGTTTTTGTAAAGGTTCCATATAATTAAAAATCTGACTTTTGGAACTTTTAATCTTGTTATATTGTCATTTCCTCATAAGAAACACGCCAAAGCCATTTTTGGCCTCATTCATGCATTTTCTTCCCATCTCAGCTTCAATTTGGTCTCCTCCCCCAAAGCGGGTCTGGTCTTGGTTCTCAAATCTGGATATTCTGTGAATTTTCTGACAAATTATTTCTGAAATGACTTCTACTGAGACACCGCCAGAAAAATCATACATCCCATCTACAAAGACACACCAAATAACATAATAAAATGTAACGCCACTTAATTTTTATCAGATGTGGTGGTGTAGTGGTGATGGTGTCAGGTTGACATGCAGTTTTGCGCAGGTTCGCCTCCCAGCAGTGGAAATATTCTAATATCTCTTTTCCTCATTTCTAGCTACACTTGCCAGTACTATGTTTACAACGATTTATTGGTATGCCGTTTAACATATAATGACTAATGTGTTTTTTTTATTTATTCATTCGTTTATTTAGCCAGTGTGAGTCCATCTGTGAGCAGAGTTTCAACTAAAATGCTGTTTAGGAACGGCCAAATTCAAAGAATTTGTAGAGACATAAATATTTTGCTGAAAATGAACATTACAACTAAAATATGAACAAATTAAATGTTTCAGCTGGCTGAATAGATTGTTGCCGACCCCACCGAGAATAGAACCAGCATCAGCTGAGGGGAAAGCAAAACGTAAGTCAGATGATCTTGCCACTGGACTACCAGAACCCACAGGGAGAGGGTACATGCTGTTGTACAGGACTTTTGTTAGAGCGGCTGTGGGCAGATATTCGCTACGAGAAACCTTTTTATTTCGGGATATATTCAGACTTTGTCATGTAGCAAGTTATATTTATCTTGTTTAATTGGAGCACAGAACATAGCATTAACGACTGTAAACTAGTAACAGCCGTAATTCATGTGGGTCAGGTCAGTTTGCGATAAAGTTGAAAACAAAAACGGAAGTCAGTGGGCTAGGCTGAGTTTGCGTGAATGGGCGGGGTTGACTCTGGTGCAGCTCCACCTTATGGTGCAGCTCCGCCTTTGTAGTTCTGCAACGAGCACCCTCTCGAACCAATAGCCTTGGGTCAAAATACTTTGAACACATGACGTGTTCAGCTCCCGTGCTACAGCAGTGATACAAAACAGTGAACATAACACAGACCACACAGACCTCCAGCAGAGGAGGAATGCGGAAAATCTCAGCAGACCATGAGAAAGGGTGACTGACGCCCAGGGCTGGGTGCCAGAACTCTGGACCTCTTTGGGACTGAGTGAAAACATTCGGTAGGTACCGATATCAGAAAAAAAGTATTAAAACGCCCCAATGTGTCAGCGCGGGTCACAAGACTGAGCCCAAGTCACGTTGTGAGTGGAGGAGACATGTCTCCTTTCAACAACACTTCTCTGCAGTTTGCGGATGAAAATGCTAAAAAATTCAAACGTTTGGGTTCATTTTGCAAAAGTAAGCAGCAGCTAAATGCAACACCAGCGAGAAGATATGTGCCTCAAAAATCGGGAGTAGCAGCTATTTAACAAAGCACCTCGTCGTGCCGGACATCATCTTGAGAGATGAAACATGGAAAGTCTTTGACTGCAAAAAAGTAAACCCGAGTCCATCACCTTCCAAAGCACAGGAGGAGTCTGAGGATGGAGGCTGATAAAAGCAGAAATAGGACATAAAACCAACTTAGCTGCTGTTAGCAGCATTATAAATGCAGTTCAGCAGGGTTGTTACTACTGTTGTTACTGACATGAAGTCAAGCATTAATAAAGGCTATTTTTATATGTATATTTCAATGTTGTGCCTTTACTGTTTGCCCTGTAGCTTTGCTATGTTTTAGCTTAGAAAAAAATTGAAATAAAGTATAATATAAATAAATATAACATAATATAAACAATAAGAACAAAACCAAAAGTAGTTTATCCTCTCTTAAAATAAAAAATATATAGATTTCAACAAAAGTATTGTTAAGGTACCGCCATCAAAAACCAGGTATGCTAAATTAGTAGTATCAGGAAATATCTACTGGTGCCCAGCCCTCCTGACGCTGTCATATTTGAAACATTGGTTTTATGTTACCTAGATACCCTTTCTGTGAAAGCTCAATCTGCTCTGCTACTGTTCTCTACCGGGTGTTTTGGCAACAAAAAAAGAAGAAAAAAAGATAAATCAACACAAGTTCAAGGATTTTTTTTTTTTTTTTGCTGTTAGGGCTTTGAAATAGATATAAATGTTTTAAATAAGTGGTCTTAAAAAGTCACATATTTAACTTGATAAAATTTGTAGGAACGCTGGCCATCACTCATCCTTATTTTATTATAATATGAATCACATTTATCACCTCTTGGTCAAACCTGAAATGGGTTTTCTGTGTATTTCAGTGTTTCTGTGGTAAGTTTGGGAATGGATTTCTTCCCATTGTTCATTTTAATGAATTAGAGATGTGTTTTAGTGTCAGATGAACGACGTTCATTTAGTTTAATGTGGCAACAGATCATAAAAGACACTAATGTAATACGTTCATCTTCACCATGGAGGCTAAATTCTGTTTATTCTGCAGGATTTTGTGTTTGATTTGTGATTTTGTGGAAGAGCAGTTGTCCCCCCCCCCCCCCCCCCCCCCTACTTCCATGTGAAGGCTTTTCCTTGTGGTGAGACTGTGTTACAGCGAAATCATCAACTCCGACTGAAAATGGCACTGGAAAATCCCCACAATTTTAAAGCAATGCTGTTCTTTAGCTTATCAGTTTGAAGCCGATAGAAAACCATCACAACAGCAGGATTCATGACCAGTAACTGACCTGCTCTGAAATCTGTTGCTGCATTCCTGCAGGGGTGACGTTTCTTTCGGACTACGCTAGAAAAAACAAACAAACTTGAACGTCAGACATGTTGATGAAGCACCATTTACTGAACTGTCTTTTTTCTGACCTTTACTTTCTGTCCCAGGATAAACGTGGTGGGATTAATGCAGCAGATCACCAGCTCCTGCTCCACTGCCTGGAGACCCTGCAGAGAGCGCTGAAGGGTGAGTATAGTAACGCAGTAAAGAGAGGATGAACACACAGATTTAGAAAAATCCTCTTTAGATAAATAAAAATGGGCCATTTAGACTAAAGTTATAAATACTGTTCTTCCTCTAGTCTCTTCTCTGCCATCCATGACGGATCGTCTTGAGTCTATTGCTCGACAAAACATGTGAGTGCCATACGTTTCGCTTAGGTTTTTGCCTTTTACTTTAGTAGAAGAAAAGAGTGAGTAAAGTAAACATGATTATGCTCTTCTTCTGTGTGCAGGTTGGGCTCTCACCTCAGTCCGTCGTGCACAGAGTGCTACATCACATCAGATATGTTCTACGTGGAGGTGCAGCTGGACAGCGGTGGTCAGCTTGTAGACGTTAAGGTTGCTCATCAGGGGGAGAACCCAACGGTCTGTTGATTTCAGTTTAATCTCTGGGAAACAAAATCTTCCATTAATATTTGGAGTTATTTATGTTCATCTGTTGTAGATTTTCAGAAATGGCCCCAATTTTCTAAATGTCTTTGTAGTATATTTTGATTTATGCAGTTTTACATGTAAATTAAAAGTTTTATTGTCCTGATTTTTTGATATAGAGTTGCCCAGAGCTGATTCAGCACCTGAGGTCAGTCAGCACTCATGGAGGGAGGCACTGTGCACACACTGCTGATAAATAATAAATAATTGTATCGTAATGTTCATCACTTTTTTAGGGAAAAGAACTTTGAAGAATTTTCTAAACATCTCAAAGGACTGGTTGATTTATACAGACTTCCTGGAGACAAGTAAGTTGAATTTTAAATGAGGTGGTTTTTCCTTTACTATAAGATATCTTTAATAATTCATTCTTGTGTTTCAGTAAACTGAAAACCAAGATGTACATAGCACTGCAGTCTCTGGAGCTTGATCTAACCAAGATGATGCACATGTTTCGGTAAGTTTAATTCATTCACTGTCGTCATTAGCATTTTTTTACTGTTTGGGCATCGGAACGAGCCCCCGCGCTGAGAGAACAAACATCTCAGCTCTGAAGCCGATCTTCATCCGCATACGTCACACGCCACGTGATCAGGAAGCAGAAAATCCATGTTTTAGGAGATCATTTTGGGCCGTTCCTGTAAAATAAGTGAGGCTGGAAGCGGAAAAGCTTCTGCCGATCACAATACAACAAGGGATTATGAAAGAATGGATAACACTCGAAACACGCGGATTCTTCCTGATGTAAGAGGTGAGTCTACGCTTAGTTTTGGTTGTTTTGGCGTCGACATCATCCTAGCGCGCAACGTTCTGTGACTCTTAAAAAACAGTAAAAACAGCGAGAAACACTGGCAGCGAAGGCCTTTAGTGATCAGGAAACGGCTGGCAGTGAGAGTTAAAGAAAAAACTTGCTTCCTCTCACAAGTTATTCCCAGTATTGCATTTTGACTCATATTTAGAAAATGGCATATGTTGTAATTTCTAATGTAGATTAGGACGTAGGGCTGAATGAATTTAGGAAAAGATTGAATTGCAATTTTTCTAGAAGAAATTGCGATTTCGGTTCAATTCACGATTTTCTGCAAACAAAGGTCCAACATTAGCCTGCCAAGTCATCCTGTAGATTAAGTGAAAAGATGGTCTAGATTCTAAGCTAGTATAACAAATCATTCACATTAATATTTACAATTTAATCATACAATAAAAACAGTTAAAGCTATTAGTATTTTTTCCCATTATTATCTTTTATTTTTATTTTTAATGTGTTTGTGAAGCAACTTGTGCTTGTGATTTTTATCTAGAGAGGAGCTTTATAAAAACATGTTCTACTCCAGAACTGCATGGAGGAAAACTGTAGGTAGAAATATCTTTTATATGTATTAAATAAAAATGCACACAGTTTTCCCTGCATTACCGCGGCAGGCTGGCTGCATGTTTTTCGAAGCCGTCTGGTAGTTTTTCCTCACTGAAACGTCAGTTCCGTGAGAGAGACGCACGCATTCTGACACCTTAGCTAGTTTGAACTAACGTGTGCCATCAGAAACATTCAAACCATTTTTAAAAGAGAAGTTGAGCTTTCAAGTCAACTAAAGTGTGCGACTCCACACTCGCGCTGATGAAGCATAAACCAAGCTTTAGAAATCAGCCTGAACCTGCTGATGTGGGAGGAGTCTCTCTCTCCCTTACTCAGCTACATTTTCTCTCTGTGTCCCGGGCTCACCTACGGTTATTATCGGCTCTAGCAGCGCTGCGTGTGGAAACATAAAACAGGGAAAATAACCTGAACATGCAGCTCTGCCAGCTGTAGAGTTGGGCTCGGCTCTGGACGGTACACCCCACCCCACCCTCCCCGTGCTGGCTTTTGCCGCCACCATAACACGGGGAAAACCCCAGATGTAAAAAAAAAAAAGTTACACAACTGATCCTGGATCAGTCAAAACCGCAGCTTTGACGGTCACGTGATCGTGCTGTTTGAAATCGCAATTTTGGTCCAAAAACGGTAGATCGTTCAGCCCTATTAGAACGTTTTTTTTTTGTTTTTGTTTTTTTGTCACTGTAAAATAATATTTTTGGTTTAGACTGTCTTTACTGTCTAATAATGTTTTGAATGTTTTTTTCATTGGTTTGAGTAGATGGTAATCATTAAAGTTAAAGAGTATGCCCAAGAGTTTAACCCTAAACTGTCTTGTGAATTATTGATTTTGTGTAAAAATGAGTGATGCACCAATATGAAAATGTTGGGCCGATACCGATATCCGATATTAATACCACTGTTACTGCCGATAACCGTTATTTACCGATACCAATATACTGACATTAATGCTTCTAAAATCTGCAGATTTTGTATAGACTGAAAATTATTAAAGCTGAATTTACATCATTATGTACACACGCACACACAGTTATGCTTCTGAAATGATTACAATCACTGCCACATGACTAAACAAATCCACATCACCCCCCTCACCCTCTGAAACAGACAAACAAATGGAAACAGAAAAATATTGGTTTGGTAACATCGCCCCAGTTTTATTTGTCGGACCGATATGTTACAAAATTACTAACATTGTCCGATGCTGGTATTGATACCAATATATTGTGCATTCCCAGTAAAAATCTCTCTGGTTATTTGTTTTGATTGTTTTTGTTTGCATGTATTCTAGCGTAGCTACAGCTGCTAACGCAGTTGACACGATCCTTCATGGGACCGTTGGCTTACTGACAGCCAGGAGCGGCGGCCATCTGGTTACTCTTCAGTGTTACGTCTCACCTTATGACATATTCGAGGTGGAAGCAAGCTCTCAGCTCAACTTAAATGAAAACATAGGTTAGTTGATGAATGGACTTGATAACAAATGACTCCCCAGGTGGTATTTTGTGTGACTTGTCTTTTCTTTGTATGTGGACGCTTTTTTCCCCAGTACCACGTACTCTAGGTGTCAGTGTCTCTGTGACGATTGAGGGAACCTCTGCTGTGTACAAGCTCCCGATAGCGCCACTCATCACTGGGACCCACGCCGTTGATAACAAAGGGTAAAAGAATGTATCTCATTTTGACAAAGTTCTCAATATATTAAGCAAATATAGTAAGCATTCAGATTCACTTTGTAAAACATTATCTTCTTATTTTAGCATCCCAAGCAGGAAGAAAGTGGAATGATCATATGTATATAAATTTTTTCTGCATTTGTAGCACTCCTTCATTTTCCAGTGTGACCAATGCCAACTGTGTGGACCTGCCTGCAAGTTTTTTCCTCAAGATGAACCGCCCCATGCCTTTCTCGCTCTCCTTCATTCAGAGGATGGGCAATGCCACTTGTGAGTCACCCTTTTTAATATGTGTGTGTGTGTGTGTCTGGCCACTTTATTGGGTACACCGTGCTAGTACCGGGTTGGACCCCCTTTTGCCTTCAGAGCTTCCATAATCCTTCATGGCATAGATTCAACAAAGTACTGGAAACAGTCCTCAGAGATTTTGGTCCATATTGACATGAAAGCGTCACACAGTTGGTGTGTCGGCTGCATTTCCATGATGGAAATCTCCTGTTCCACCACATCCCAAAGGTGCTCTATTGGATTGAGATCTAGTGACTGTGGAGGCCATTTTAGTACAGTGAACTCATCGTCATGTTCAAGGAACCAGTCTGAGATGATTCAAGCTTTATGACATGGTGCATATCCTACTGGAAGTAGCCATCAGAAGATGGGTACACTATGGTCATAAAGGGATGGACATGGTCAGCAACAATACTCGGGTAGGCTGGTGTTGCAACATTGATCTATCAGTACTAAGCGGCCCAAAGTGTACCAAGAAAATGTCCCCCACACCATTACACCACTACCACCAGCCTGAATTGTTGATACAGGGCAGGATGAATCCATCCTTTTGTGTTGTTGATGTCAAATTCTGACCCTCCCATCCGAATGTTGCAGCAGAAATCATCAGACCAGGCAACATTTTCCAATCTTCTATTGTATAATTTTGGTGAACCTGTGTGAATTTTAGCCTCAGTTTCCTGTTCTTAGCTGACAGATGTGGCATCCGGTGTGGTCTTCTGCTGCTGTAGCCCATCTGCCTCAAGGTTCGACGTGTTGTATGTTCAGAGATGCTCTTCTGTATACCTTGGTTATAACGATGGTTATTTGAGTTACCGTCGCCTTTCTATCAGCCCCAACCAGTCTGGTCATTCTCCTCTGGCCTCAACAAGGCATTGTTACCCACAGAACTGCCGCTCACTCGATGTTTTCCCTTTTTCGGACTATTCTCTGTAAACCCTACAGATGGTCATGTGTGACAATCCCAGAAGATCAGCAGTTTCTGAAATACTCAGACCAGCCTGTCTGCACCAACAACCATGCCACGTTCAAAGTCACTTAAATCACCTTTTTTCCCCATTCTGAAGCTCGGTTTGAACTGCAGCGGATTGTCTTTACCTTGTCTACATGCCTAAATGCATTGAGTTGCCACCATGTGATTGGCTGATTAGTCATTTGCGTTAACGAGCAGTTGGACAGGTGTACCCAATAAAGTGCTTGGTGAGTGTACAGGTCCTTCTCAAAAAATTAGCATATTGTGATGAAGTTCATTATTTTCTGTAATGTATTGATAAACATTACAAATAAATAAACAAACATTAGACTTTCATATATATTAGATTCATTACACACAACTGAAGTAGGTCAAGCCTTTTATTGTTTCTAATATTGATGATTTTGGCATACAGCTCATGAAAACCCAAAATTCCTATCCCAAAAAATTAGCAAATCATGAAAAGGTTCTCTAAACGAGCTATTAACCTAATCATCTGAATCAACTAATTAACTCTAACAGGGTTTTTCCTGGCTCAAATTGAGGCAGAAGTGGTACCATCCTGACCATGCGCCAGCACATGCATACTCTGTGCATTCAACTGCTTCACTTTTTTTAAAGGCCAAATATTTTTTGTTAAGTGTTCTAATCTAAGCTTCTGTTGATGAATTGAATATTCTATTTGACGTTTCAAGTGAAACAAAACTGGTTTGCTGCAAAAAAAAAATGAAATAAAACAACAAAATTATCAGGCTGAAATAACAGACTCATTATAAAAGGCTCAATAATATGTATTAGGTTGGTGTAGTTCCCTTTTTCCCATCTGATATTTATAGTCAAAAATATTTTTAAATATTTGACCTACATTTCAGTAACATTTTAGGTTTGTATTAATAACAGTCATTATAGTCAAAATAACACAAATATATCCAGTAAAATATAATGCATTTCATTAACATGCATTTGTATTGGAAATGGTAATAACATTTAATTTCTGCTAACAATGTAATGGTGGCATGTCTATTATGTACGGGTTGGCAATAATCCAGTTTAAATTATGCTCATTTAAAATAGACAAACACGCACAGACAGTTTATTTCGACGCACTGTACAGCCCTGCTCTGATATGGAAGAGCCTGGGGGAAATCGGGATGTCAGTAGCACCAACCATAGATATGTACCAAGAAGCGAGAAAAGCAATTTTTGATCTTTTTCTGGAGCGGCTTTAGCGCTTTTTGGTGCACCGCTGCTGATACAGCGCCCCTGTAGTGGCGCAACGCTGCAACTGCAGTTAAAATAACATCCATATAGCTGGGGGCAGAGTGAAATCAGGCTGGAGCGGCACAAAATTAGCTGGAGGCGGCCGCCACGCCAATTTGAACGCAGGAAAAACCCTGTCTAAACACCTGCAAAAGATTCCTGAGGCTTTTAAAAACTCCCAGCTTGGTTCATTACTCAAAACCGCAATCATGGGTAAGACTGCCGACCTGACTGCTGTCCAGAAGGCCATCATTGACACCCTCAAGCAAGAGGATAAGACACAGAAAGAAAATTCTGAACGAATAGGCTGTTCCCAGAGTGCTGTATCAAGGCACCTCAGTGGGAAGGAAAAGGTGTGGCAGAAAACGCTGCACAACAAGAAGAGGTGACCAGACCCTGAGGAAGATTGTGGAGAAGGACCGATTTCAGTCCTTGGGGAACATGCACAAGCAGTGGACTGAGTCCGGAGTAGAAACATCCAGAGCCACTGTGTACAGGCGTGTGCAGGAAATGGGCTACAGGTGCCGCATTCCCCAGGTCAAGCCATTTTTGAACCAGAAACAGCAGCAGAAGCGCCAGACCTGGGCTACAGAGAAGCAGCACTGGACTGTTGCTCAGTGGTCCAAAGTACTTTTTTCGGATTAAAGCAAATTTTGCTTGTCATTCGGAAATCAAGGTGCCAGAGTCTGGAGGAAGACTGGGCAGAGGGAAATGCCAAAATGCCTGAAGTCCAGTGTCAAGTACCCACAGTCAGTGATGGTCTGGGGTGCCATGTCAGCTGCTGGTGTTGGTCCACTGTGTTTTATCAAGGGCAGGGTCAATGCAGCTAGCTATCAGGAGATTTTGGAGCACTTCATGCTTCCATCTGCTGAAAAGCTTTATGGAGATGAAGATTTCATTTTTCAGCACGACCTGGCACCTGCTCACAGTGCCAAAACCACTGGTAAATGGTTTACTGACCATGGTATTACTGTGCTCATTTGGCCTGCCAACTCTCCTGACCTGAACCCCACAGAGAATCTGTGGGATGTTGTGAAGAGAAAGTTGAGAGACGCAAGTCCCAACACTCTGGATGAGCTTAAGGCCGCTATCGAAGCATCCTGGGCCTCCATAACACCTCAGCAGTGCCACAGGCTGATGGCCTCCATGCCACGCCGCATTGAAGCAGTCATTTCTTCTAAAGGATTCCCGACCAAGAATTGCGTGCATAACTGAACATAATTATTAGAAGGTTGACTTTTTTGATATTAAAAACATTTTTCTTTTATTGGTCGGATGAAATATTCAAATTTTTTTGAGATAGGAATTTTGGGTTTTCATGAGCTGTATGTCAAAATCATCAATATTAGAAACAATAAAAGGCTTGATCTACTTCAGTTGTGTGTAATGAATCTAATATATATGAAAGTCTAATGTTTATCAGTACATTACAGACAATAATGCTAATATGCAAATTTTTTGAGAAGGACCTGTATATACACTGTATTTGCAATGAAAGGATTATCCTTACCTTGTATGTGTTTCTTACACCTCTTCTACCCCCCCCCCCCAGCAATCCCAGTATTTGAGACGTCACCCAGCCTCTCACCGCTCTACCAGCTGATCGTCCAGAGTCAGCTGCAGCTGCTGGACGAGAGCAGCTCTGTGCCAGCAACACTGAATAACATGCACTTTTATTCTGTGAGCTGATACCAACACATTCCAATACATTTATATTTTTAAGCTTCTAAATAATTATATGTATGTATATATATATATATATATATATATATATATATATATATATATAATTTAAATATATAAGAATGATCTGTCAGATCTGCTCTTTGTTTGCATTTCATGCTTACAAAATAGCTCAAAACGTGTAAAAATTGTGTTTAAAATAACTTCTACATATAATCATTTTACAGATCTTGCCAGATCAGCATCACTGTTACTTCCTGAATGGCGATGCCCCAGTTCAGGATGGACATTCATTACAAGGAGCAATGGTGTCCAAGATCCCTTTTCGTCATCCAGCTCAAGTGCCATTCCTGCTGGACATCATTCGCCACCAGGCAGCATATAACACTCTGATTGGCAGCTGCGTCAAACGAACCTCTGCCAAAGAGGGTAAAAGTGTCATGTCCACACTACTACACCAGAAACTTGTGGTTTCTCTGTCTGTGTAGTTTAACTGCATTAAACACTGTTGTTGCTTCCTCCTCAGACAGTGCAGGCCTTCTTCAGTTCGAGGTTTGTCCTCTCACCGACTCAAGTTTCAGTGTCTCCTTCCAGCACCCGGTCAATGAGTCGTTAGTCTGTGGTGAGCAGATATTTTAATGAAATACTTTTTTTATGAAAACATTTTTTTTGGTTTTCATTTAAAAAATGCATTTTGATGAATTAAAGTATGACATGAAGTTTACTGAAACAGCCTCTGGCCATCAGCTTAAATGTGGACTCATGTTTGGTTTATAAAAGGTGTTTAACCCTCCCTTTCCACTGGATGCGTAATCATCACGTAACGTCAGCGAATCTTGGTACACAAGCATCAGCCGCCAGTATGGCAGTTTTTTTTTCACCGGCGACAAATGAATGTGTTTTGGATTCGTCCCAGGAACAAAGTGTTGCTCTGCTAAAACATACGCTTCTGTGTCAAAAACATACAGTGACAGGCCATAAATATTTTGTCAAAGTCAGGTCAAACAGAGCTTCAGGTGTTTATTTAATCCAGCTCTATAAAGCTGGATTTAGAACATATCTAGCTATCACCAGCTGAATGCAGCGATTAGCTTAAGTCACCTGATAAGCTGTTTCAGTTCGGTTTCTGTGTGGTTGAGTTCAATATATAAAAGTTGTAAATTGGATACAAATATCCATGGGAAGCCCAGAGTCCAACCTTTTGATGCTTTTCCTCTAGTTGTGATGGAGGTGATTGACTCCAGACAAGTGTCTTGTAAGCTGTATAAAGGACCATCCGATGCTCTGATCTGCACTGATGAATTCATAACCAAGGTTGTCCAGAGGTGAGGGTTTTTATACATCAGATTTCCTTGAATTTGTTCAGCATCTTTGTATTTAGTGTTGTTTTCTGACCCTCGTAGATGCATGTCCATCCCTGTTACAATGCGGGCCATACGGAGGAAAGCTGAGACCATCCAGGCTGACACTCCAGCGCTCTCACTGATTGCACAGACAGTGGAGACCATGGTGAAGAATAACCCACCACCTTCTGGTAGTCCTTACAACATGACAGCAGGGGAAGGGACTAACCCCATGGGACTAGCTGGGCTTACGGGAGGCAACACACCTACTGGGGGAGGACCCAATTTTGCAGGTCCAATATCCACTCTATTTGGAATTTCCCGTGCAGAAAAACAAGCTCAAGGAGTAGAATGCATGACGCCAGGAGCAGTGGCTGCCCAGCAGCAACTGCAGCAACAACAAAATCAGGGTCATTCAGATGATTTCAGTAAAGTCACTCAGAATCCCATACTGACAAGTCTATTACAAATAACTGGAAATGTGGGTTCTAGTCCCAGCTCCCAGAATGCACCAGCACCCCACCAGACCCCTCCATCAACATCCTCCCCTGCTAGCAATACAAAGAATCACCCCATGTTGATGAACCTGCTCAAAGACAACCCCACACAAGATTTTGCTGCACTGTACAGCTCTAGTCCGTTAGAGAGACAGAACTCTTCCTCTGGTTCCCCACGGACAGATGGAATGGGTGGTGCTTGTCCTGGAGGTAACGCTAAAGGAAAGAAGAAGCGTCCCAGAGGAACTGAGAAGGGGGCGGTGTTGCCTGGAGCAGGTCCAGCTGGCGGTTTGGGCATGAAGTCACAACAGTCAGCCTCCATGCCACTGCATCACCAGCACCCCTCTGTAACTCACGAGGATGATTTCCATCGGGAGCTCTTTTCCATGGATGTGGACGCATCTCAGAATTCTATCTTTGATGTTAACCTAACTAGTGATGGTCTTGAAACGCCCAGTACCATCACACCAGCTCCTAGCCAGTGTGGAACACCACCCCTTAGCTCTAGTATACCTTACCCACAGTCTCATGTCCCGTCTCAGCCGCAGCAACCTCCCGGAACAATACCACCTCGTATGGTCCGCCTCCCCAGCTCTGACAGCATTGGACCTGATATAACAGAAATCCTACAAGACTTACCTGAGCAAACGGGCAAATGTAGCGGTGGCAGCCATGGGCAGCACCCCATTGGCAGTGGAGGGGAGGACCAAGGCCCCCTCGGCACCCCCATCCGTGACTCTTCCAGCTCTGGTCCGGGCAGTGCTGTGTTTGACTCAGACATTTTCAATTCCAACAGCAACGAGAATCCCTTTACAGATGCAGCTGATCTGATTGCTGAGGCAGCTGCAACTGCTGCCACTCCCAACAGTGACTCCTCTTCCAACAATTTCTTTCCTGATGCATCTGACTTCAACCCTGACCTTCTCTCACAAAACTACTTTGATGAAAGCTCTCCAAGTGCTGATGGAGACATAGATCTTGTCAAAGGGTTTGGGGGAAGTAGCCAACAGAATACTCCCTCAGGAACTCCTCAGAATCCCACTCCTCATGGACAGAGCACTCCAGACACCTCGCTGAAGGAACCTTTTGACATGGGAATTGTTTTTGGCATTAACAGTGGTAGTGGCAAACCACCTCTGGGTCAAGCTCCTGACTTGGGAGACACTCATGGTGGCGGATCCCAGAGTCCCCTCATGATGGGGCTTAGTGGCTCATGTGTTGATTTTAAAAGTGCAGAGCCCAAAATTAAACCGGGCCTTATGCGTTCTAAGGATGACAATGGGGGCAGTGCAGGTAGTAGTTCTGGGATGGGAATGGGGAGCAGCTCAACAGAGGGCAAACAGGTCAAGCGAAGCAGGACCCCATCCAGTGAAGGAAAGTCTAAAGATAAGCCTCCCAAACGCAAAAAGCTTGATCCTGATGGAAAGTCCCCATCCCACAGCTCAGGAGGTCGACCTTATACACCTCCTAGTGGTGGTTCGGGCTCAGGAGGAAGCATGAGCGGTGGAGGCTCCAAGTCTCCTGGAAGTTCAGGACGCTCTCAAACTCCTCCTGGAGGTGCAACACCTCCCATTCCCAAAATCACAATTCAAATCCCAAAGGGGACCATCACTGGGGGGAAAACATCTTCCCATAGTGGATACACTTCCAGCAGCTCTGCTTCTAGCAATACAGGAAGTGGGAGTGGAACCGGCAGCAGTGGCAAAAGTCACCATTCGCATCCATCTTCCTCTGGGAAGATCAAATCCAAAGAAAGCTCCATGTCTCAAGGCAATAACTCCAAGCCAGGAAGTGGAGGTGGGCCTTCCCAAATGAAAGGCTCCTCTCAAGGAATGAGTGTTGGCAAACCAGGATCCTCTCCGATCACTAAACATGGGTTGTCTGGGCCGGGGGGTACTGGAGGTGGAATGGGAAGTGCTAATAAAATTAAGCCTCAAGGGGGCAAGCCTCCTGGGTCTCTCATTAATCCCAACATCAAACCTAACATTTCCCCTTCCCATTCTCGGTCCAGTAGCTCTGGTGACAAGTTGTCCTCTCCAATGAAAATGCAGCAGTCCCAGGTTCCAGGAACACCCCCTTCTTCCAAGGCTAAATCTCCAATAGGATCAGGAGGAGGCAACTCTGGTGGGTCCAAGTCTACCTCTGGTGGAAATATTGGCTCCCAAAAGCCAGCTGGTGGGAGCTCATCTTCTAGTTCTACATCTTCGTCTTCATCCTCCAGCTCCTCCTCGGGTTCCATGAGTTTCTCAGGGGGCTCCCAGTCACAGTATGGGAGTGGAGGAGGTAGTGGAGGCGAAGGAGGTAGTGGAGGAGGAAACAGTGGAGGCACCTGTCCAAATAATTCAAATAACCCCAACGCCAAAGGTAAGTCTCCCAGTCGAAACAAAAAGCCCTCTCTAACAGCAGTCATAGACAAGCTGAAGAGTGTAGGTGGAGGCGGGGTGGGAGAGGATGGCTGTGAAGTTGGGCCACCAGTTGGGGGGAATGGTTCATCATCTACTCCTGGTGGTCCTGGGAATGTATCCAGTGGACCCTCAAGCATGGGCTCTTCTAAGCATACTTCCTCATCTCAGGGTGGGGATTACAAGCGGGAGAAGTCCGATAAGGAGGCAAAGTCCAAAGTGATGGTTTCAGGGGGCAGTAGTGCGGATAAAAAGATGATGGACCCAAAAGCGGGTGGTGTAGGGGGAACCACTCTGGCTAAAATCATCATTAGCAAACCAGATGGTGGCTCACCAAGCATAAAAGCTAAAGTGACCCTTCAGAAACCTGGGGAAGGATCTGGGGAGTCAATGCGTCCCCAGATTTCCAGCCTCAAAGCCTCCCCCCTCTTCAGTGGTTCCACTCCAAAGCATGACCGCTCCTCACCCAGCCACAGCCGCTCGCCGGGATACACACCACTCAATCATGACAGTGAGAGCGAATCAGGTAGCAGCTCGGTAGCAGAGAAGTCCCACCAGAACAGCCCCAGCTCAGACGACGACCAGGCCATGCGCCCGCTTCCCCCTCAAGACTACATGAGCTCCATCCCACTGAGTTCAGGAGAGAAACACAAGAAGCACAAGAAGGAGAAGAAGAAGCAGAAAGAGAAAGACAGAGAAAGGGACAGGGACCGAGAGAGGGACAGGGAAAAGGAGAAAAAGAAGTCCTCTATGTCCATGGGCTCTTCGACACATTCAATAAAAGCAGACAGTTGGTCACGCTCTCCCATCTCAGCCTCAGAACCGTCACTTTCCATGCTGGGCTCGGACCGTCCATCCAGGTCCAGTCCGATGTATATAGGAAACGAAGATGATGACCTCATGGACTCGGCCCTTACGGGCAACCTTTAATCCGACAGTAGACGTTTTTGTGTTTGTCTTCTCATGTCTCGTACTCTCCTTTTATCATACGCTTTTATTTATTTAACTAGATCCACAAACCACAACTGAGTATGAACGATTTAACAGCTTTGAGTGATAACTATTTTAATGTCCTGTTGTACTGTTAGAGTATTACGTGTAAAATTGTTATTAGAATGATGGTTTTATGGCGCTACCCATCCGAAGCTGTCCGTGACAGCTTCCTTTATCCACCCCCTGAAGTGGACCTTAGTTTGATCCTGTCTGTGTTTTGTCAGAATGTTTTACTGTTGCAAAAACATTTCTTACTCAGAATTATTTTTATGCTTAACACATCTTTTAAAGTGTATACATCTACCATTTGATTGTAAACAGAAGCCACATAAGACCTGATGCATGTATAAAAGTATTGTAAATGAGAGAGGAAAAGTGTTCTTTAAGCTGCAGCTGGGCATTTTTGATTATTTTAAATGTTTTAACCTGTTGATGTGTAAATTAGGTACAGAAGAGGACTGCAGGAGATGATTAAGGAAAAGACTTAGTTTTACTTGTACATTTGGATGTTTTAATTAAACCTTTCACTTTTGACCGACTTTCTTCTTGCTTCAGTTGCAACAGATTTAACAACTGACATATGGTGTAAATAAGGATGTGTTTACAGTTTAAAGCAGCTTAAATGGACTACATTTCCTTCTTGGTTTTGACTCTCCCACTAGATGGCAGCAGGGCTTCAGGCTTTCCACTCAGCAAACTTGCATGGTGATTTGTGAAATGTTACACAACCCAGGAGGTCATTCCTCAAGGTTAAATGGATTTTCACATCTTTATTCACACTCATCAAGAAAGCTGATTTGAGAGATGATGAAGATGATGATGCAACTTGCCAAGTCAAAGCAAACTGCCACAACAACACAAATGTGTTTCAGTGGGTAAAAGTCCAAGAAAGCTAGATTTTAGCTGCTCTTTTCACTACCACTGGGACATTCCTCTGATCAAAATATTCTAAGATGGAGTTTAATACAAACAAGAATAACATGGATTTATTTACAATATTGCTCGTTTAGCTACAAAGAAAATTGGCATTGGTAATCCAATAGCAGAATAAAATGTACCCAGCTAAATCAGTGGCATATTCCTGAAAAGAAGTCATTCTGTTATTGAACTCTCCCAAGTCAGCGGACCCATCGACTCCATTTTCCCTGACTGAACTCAATATTATCCCAGAAGACTTGCGCTTAAGTGCTTAGTAGTTTCAAATGCACGAAGCCTTGTTATGATGAAAAACGGGGTTAAACTCAATTAGCCCCAGATTTTCTGCGTGCACTTTATTAGAAGTTTATTTACAGAACGTAGAAGTTTGTAAACTCCTCATTTCTGTTACTGGGTCCCCTAGGCACCAAGATAAAACCTTGTGGCGACTGCTTATGTATTGACTTGAGATGGGTGTTAAGAAATGGCATAGCCTGCTAAAGGTTATCGCTACAGCACTGCCGTAGCATCTCAGTTCCTCCTAAACGAGATTGCACACCTACATATCACACATCTACCCTACTGTGCCAGTTAGAATATAAAAACACTTTTTTGTATGTTTGTTATACCTGTGACACTGCTGTGCAGTATGCGGTTAATATAATAACTGATGTTTATTTTTATACCATTTGTACAGATCTGAATGAGGTTTCCCCTACAAGGTAGGGTTGAACAGGGCTTGTACATTTGAATTAAACCAAATGTGTAAAAAATCACTGCTGTTACTTTGTGCTAAATGACACAGGATAGAATATAAAATCCCTTTGTTGTCTGTCAGTGGTGAGATTTTGGTGTCACAGCTGCAATTTAATTAATTACTGGGGTAAAAAGGAGAGTAAGAAAGAGTAAAAAAGATAACAGATACTTAAAAACCAACCTGGTCCTGTTTAAAAACATGATGACCTCATAAACCTAATAACTAACTGGTGATGAGTATCACTGTGGAGGTGTCCCGCTCTTCTTTACAGCATTGTTTTAGTTCAGCCTCATTGGAGGGTTTTCTAATGTGAACGACATATTAAAGGTCAAAGGTCAAATGTTTTCCTTCAGGATTTTCATCATGGTTCCATCAATCAGAGCAAGTGGTCCAGGCCCTGAAGCAGCAAAGCAGCACCGGACCATCACACTACCACCATCGTGTTTGACTGTTGGTGTGATCTGTTTCTGAAATGGTGTGTTGGTTTTACAATAGGTTCAACCAGATGCACACGTTGTCCTGTCAGTCCACAGAGCATTTTTCCAAAAGTCTTAGGGATCATCAGGATGTATGTCAGAACAAAAGCAAGACAAGCCTTTGTGTCTCACCCATGATCTCACCCCTTCACATCTTTATCTTAAACAAATCGTGAACTCTGACCAAGTGAGCCAGTTCTATAGGTGTTCATATGAGCATGTGTGGCTTATTGTTCATAATGGGTCATGGTGTGTTTCTTTTTGAGGTCTTTAGCCTGCTTCCATTATGTCAGCCATAGTCTGTTGAAGTGATTTATTATTTGCAGGTGTGGTAGTGATCAGCTCTGGTGGAACTGCACTAGTAATAATAATAACTGGTTTAGTCACAGTTAACTCTTGGTTTATCAAGGAGGATGATTACTTATTCACATAAGTTCAGGTGAATTTTTTGTCTCAGTAAATGAAATAATCGACAAGCCATCATTTACTCAGGTTGTCTTTGTCTAAAACAGCTGTTTTTGTTTGTTTACTGATGTGAAGAAGTCTGGATGGGGTCCATTACTTTTTCACGTCGCTTTACATAAAAGCTGCAAACTCTCAGATCAACTTTGTAAACTTCTTAGTTAATAAAAACCACCCCAATGCAAACTGGATTAAACATACCGACTAGATTTTGTGTGCAGCTGAATTTGAACCCCGCCATAATTATTTACCACTTTTTTCTGCTCTCGGTCCATTAAGCCCCACCCACTTTTGTTTCTGTTCAGCGCTTAAAGTCACTTTCTACTTCTACTGGTGCCGTTTTGTCATAAATGTTTGACATCCCTTTCTCTCCAACTGTTAAAGATGCAAAAGCACTTGAGCTATGCTTCTATGAAAAAAGTGATTTTCTCAGTCATAATTAATCACTTCTTCAGTTCCATTTTGAGATGTTCTGATGCAGAGCAGCAGATAAGTTCAGCACATAACTATCTACCATCAGCACATCAGGAAGGGCTGCAGTTCACGGCTGCCAAGGAGCAAAATAGCATGAAAATAACCTCCAGGTTTGTCTTACCGTGAAGCAAGAAGAGGAAGAGGGAGGGGAGTCATTTACCAGTTAGTTAAGCTTTAAAGCCACACACAATCTGGGGAGGGAGGAAGAGAAGGCGGTGCAAGATAGAGGAAGAAAGGAAGGATGGAGAAGACAAGATTTATTTTCAGCTGTGGAATGCTGCACTTTTAAACTAAGGATGCTATTATAGTACAAGAGCCCCAGCTTTAACTTTGCTGAGTGCAGCAGCTGCAATAAAACTTTTTACTAAGGTGGAGAAACAGACTATGTTTCACGTTCAGAGATGCCACTGTCACACTTATTAGTGTCTGAGTGCTGGGACATGCAGATTGGGTTCACTGAATAATAATTGTTCTGACAAGAAAGCCTGAGTGGACTCTGAAAATGAATTCAGTACACTTGTTTTGTTGTCGAGTTGCTGTAGCTGAGTCATTATTTTTTAGTTTCATCATCAATTTTACTCCCTTAAGCTCGTTTGAATTTCTTAAAAGAAGAAAAAAAAAGCAGTGCGGGGTTTTTACTGCTTGACTTTGTTACCTTTTGGGAGCAATTTATGGCCGTGTGGCCTTGCAGGTCTTTTTAAAGTGCTGCTCTGAAGAAAAAGCCTCAAACTGTAGGAAGCTTCAGATTTATGCTGAGGCAAGTCGAAGTGAGTGGCTGTAAAAACTGTACTGCTGGTGAAACATCAGCAAATCTGCGAGGAGAGGTTTGCCTCTGTTCACAAATATGTTGCGACAACAGAAATGTTTTGTTGTGGTTGTTTTGTTTTGAGCCAGAATCCTGACAGGAATTCATTCAAACCTAAAATGCAGTTTTTTTATGAGAGTAAAAGTACGCCTCCTTACTGATTTATTCTGTTTACTAAATGCATTAAAAATGACCTAAGTACATGCAAAATGCAATTTTTAAATGGTGACGCAACACAAAACTAAATAAAATCACCTTAAAGTGGAAAAGCTGAGGGTTCGATTCTGGTGCTTTTGTTCTAAAATGCATTTTTTATTAAAAATTTCTAAAATTTTGCTTTATAACAATATCTCACAGCATGCTCTTTCCTTTGAAGCTCAGCCAGGGGAGATATTGTATTTCAATAATTTAATCAGTGGATTCAGTCTGAAATGGAACAGAAAATTAAGTCATCAGATGCTAAATTCTTTCCTCCACATGTTAAATTAAAGTAACCGTTGTCGGATGGTGAAGGGCTCCTTCGGTGGCTGAGTGGATCATGTGATTTGTGTGTTTAACTAGATTTTTTCCAATAGGAGTTGTGCATGCCTCTGATCGTCCGTCCCTCCAGGCCTGAGGTGTGAGTCAGCATGTGGCAGCGCCAACGCTCTCTGGCATGTCAAACACAAACCCCACTGCCTCTCCTGCCAGCTGTCCATACTTCCTGCCAAGCCCTTTATTTTTCCATGTCTCCTCTTTTTCACTGAGTCACTGCGGCTGATAATCTATCATTTGCTCTCTAGAAAAAAAGCTCCTGCGAACACGTCAGCATTTGCACTGGTTTTTTATTCCGTTGGACTGGGGCATTTTAAAGCCAGGGGCTTTTTGATCAGAAAACGGCTGTCAGTTAATGAGTGAAGGTTCAGACCAAAAGCAACCACTGGACCATCCAGTTTTCGGACCATCGCACTTTCCTGGGTCCTCCATTCATTAAACACCCACACATTTAGCAATAGAACCACTGGTGTGAGAGGTTCTCCGCTCAGTAATATCAGAGAAGGAGAAACAGCCAGCTGCTCCATCCATCCATCCATCCATTTTCTGAACCCGCTTGTCCATGTAGGGTTGAGGGGGGGCTGGTGCCTATCTCCAGCGGTCAATGGGCAATCAGGCGGGGTACACCCTGGACAGAGAGCCAGTCCATCGCAGGGCAACACAGGACAAACAATAATGCACACACACACTCACACCTAAGGACAACTTAGACCGGCCAATCAACCTAACAGTCATGATTTTGGACTGTGGGAGGAAGCCGGAGTACCCGGAGAGAACCCACGCGTGCACAGAGAGAACATGCAAACTCCATGCAGAAAGATCCCAGGCTGGGAAGCGAACCCAGGACCTTCTCGCTGCAAGGCAACAGCTCTAACCACTGCCTCAGCCAGCTGCTACAACTTCAAAATTTAGGACAAACTACCAGAGTCCTAAAAAGAAAAACACCATTTGAAGAACACAGACGTTTGGACCTAGAAAATGGCGACTGGTGTTTGGCACTATCTCGTTTCCTCTGGCATCACAAGTTTCTGGCATCAAGCAGACGTGGCCCAGAGATGATAGCTGACTGGAAGGGTAAGAGTCCTGCGACCATATTTGTGTATAAAAGCTT